CAGGTGGTTTTCAGCAGAGGCAGCCCTTCCAGGATAGGCAGGGGCCACCACCACAGAAGCAGCCCTACCAGCCTAGGCAAGGGCAGCCATTCCAGCAGCCTCAGCGTCAGTATGCCGAGCCAGCAGCAACGCCAGCTCCCGATAACCAGATGACCGAGCTGAAGAACATTTTGGCAGCATTCATGACCACCAGCCAGACAAGTATCACGAGGATGGATCAGACCATAGCTTCACTGGAGGCAGGCCAGAGAACCCTGGAGGCAGGCCAGAGGAACCAGGGTGCCATTCTGCAAGATTTGCAGAACCAGGTTGGCGCCATAGCTTGCCAGATTACTACTCGGGCCCCGGGAACTCTACCTGCCACCACCATCCCTAATCCACGGGACCCGCATGAGACCGCACATGCCATTTTCACCCTGAGCGGCAGGCCTACATCAGCTGATCCTGCCCTGTCCAAGCAGGAGGAACCACTACCTGCTTCAGCACTTCCAGCCGGTGATGCAGAAGTGCGGGTGGAGAAGGAAGCCCCTGCTCCCAAGCCACAACCAGTGGTTAAGGAGCATGTGCCCCAGCTTCCCTTCCCCACTCGCCTCCATAAAGATAAGATGGAGACTGAGTTTGCCAATTTTATGGCAATGTTGAAGCAGCTCAACATCAACATACCATTTGTGGAGGCCCTGTCGAAGATGCCCAAGTACGCGAAGTTCATGAAAAATCTCTGCACCAACAAGAAGAAACTTGGGGATCTCTCGACAGTGCTGCTGAGCGAGAAGTGTTCTGCTGTCCTGCAGAACAAGCTGCCCGAAAAGCGTAAAGACCCAGGGAGTTCTACTATCCCTCTTACTATTGGCAGCATGCATGTAGGAAAGTCCTTGGCGGACCTAGGCGCTAGCATTAATGTCATGCCATATAAACTGTTCAAGAAGCTAGACCTAGGTGAACTTAGCCCTACTAGGATGAGCATTCAGCTAGCTGACCGTTCTATTGTGCATCCTAGGGGTATCACAGAGGACCTGCTTGTTAATGTTGGTGCATTCACATATCCTGTTGATTTTGTTATCCTGGACATAAATGATGATGTGGATGTGCCTTTGATTCTGGGTAGACCATTTCTTGCCACCGCCAAGGCATTGATTGATGTGCATGATGGTAAACTGATTCTGCGTGCTGGAAATGAACAAGCTACTTTTTCTGTGACTGAGTTTGATCACTGTGCTATGATTGCTGTCACCCCTGTGCATGCTCTTTCTGACCAGATACACGAGCCTGTCGTGTATCCTTCTGCACCTCTCATTTTGCAGGACCCGCCTGTCATTCCTTCGCCGCCACTCCATCCAGTCTCGCCTCCGAACAAAAAGCTCAAGGAGGAGTGGCGACCGAAGCCGCAGGTGGCTAAGCCGGCACGGAAGAAGAGTGGAGACCACTATGAGCTGGTCCCACCCCCTGCACCACGACCACCCTGGCCATCCGAGTACTCACTCGCCTGCATCTTGCCGGATGGCCAGGTCGAGCTGACCGATGCTGGTGGTTGCAACCGTCGGGTGCACGGTCACCACCTGAAGCTGTACCTCAAGAGCGATGTGGATCCGCTCTTGGAGGCACCTGTTCCTGCACCTCCCTGAGTATCCACCATGGGCGTCCAGCTAAAAGACGGTAAAGAAGCGCTTGTGGGGAGGCAACCCCACCACGGTTGGACTTTCTTTCTTGTGTTTCGAGTCGGATTGCGATTAGGTTTGATTTTGGTTTGTTTCCTTTGTTCTGGATGATGTCTATTGGGCTGCCATTGGACCTAACATATTCTGGTTGAGCTCTTCTGTTCCCCTTGAGCTGTGCTGTGTTCCCGACTGGTCCATTTCCAGTCTCCTGCAGTCCGTGCATACCGGTAACTAGGGCTGGGCATGCAGGCGGATCATCCGCGGGTTTGGGCCGACCCACCCGCATTTGACCCGAATTTCGTTAAGTGGGTGGGTCTGTGGGTGGGTGACGGGTTGCGCTGGGAGCCATCTGCCGGGTGGTGGGTGGGTTGTGGGTGAGTGTGCGGGTGACCCGCTCAACCCAACAGCAAAAAGATCAAAGTCGTTGGCGCTAGAGAGAGGAGAGTGGAGACGTTAGATATAAACTCGGACTGCTCCTGGAGTTTGAACCTCAAAGCCAACCTTCCAAATAGAGATCCCCTCTTCTTCCCTTTACTTTTTGCTCTAATTCTTGTGCCTAGATCACCGCTCTTTCCTTTGTGGAATTATTTTCCTTAGTTCCTTGCACCTAATAATCGTCTCAATCTGTAGAAAACTCTTTCATAAAAGAATTTATATCCAATTTAAGAACTAATTCGACATTTTTCGCCCTATTTCAACTTCTTGTTCCCTCGATGATTCTCTTCACCTATTATCATGTCAAGTTGACTCCTTTATATTATATACATTGTGATGTGGGTGAACCCACAAACCCACCCGCATCATCCACCATCCGCCCGACCCAACCCGAGACTAAATGTGGGTGGGTGGTGGGTTAAAAATTATCAATCCGTTTAAGCGCGGGTGGGTGCATTTTATGGTCAAAATCCACCCGACCCACCCAATGCCCACCCCTACCGGTAACATCGTTCCCCTTTCCTTCCCTCTTCTCCATTGAGGGCAATGTCGATCTTAAGTGTGGGGGGGATGTTTATCTTTTGACTGCATTAGCTCTGTTTGTGTGCTTGGAGCCTAGTCCACTGTCCAAATTTCTAAATTTGAGGGCTCCAAGTACGTGTTCCTTGCAATTGCCTGCTCAGTATGCTTTGAATTGACAGTCTCTATAGTAATGTGCGACCTAGGGAGGTAGTGTAGCACTATGGAGGATGTTGATGCATTTAAGAAGTCTCATTTCTTCTTCATATTGTGTTGGTTGATTGAGTGAATTAGTGATCTTAGGACCCTTGAATGGTGTGGTGTTGTGGACTCTCTGCCTGTCATGGACTCTTGTATCATGTTCTGAATGTAACAGGTGCTCGAAATGTGCTTTAAAATAACGTCTCCCGTGCGAATAGGGCGAAAGTGTGTAAGGGGAGACGGGAATCCGTTCCCAATTTCCACCTTCTACCTCCAGCCCCCTTACATGTCTTTCCCCCGCACGAGGCTCGAGACACCCGCTCCTGGCATGGCCGGTAAGAGCCGGGCTCCCGCAAAACCTTTGCTAGGTGGGAGCCCCCATTTTCTGCAGAAACAGGTTGGAACCCGTGAAAAACAAAAGAGAAAAACAGAAAAACAAGCAAAGAGAAGAAAGAAAAGGGTTCCAACCATGTTCACAAAGAAAATCGAGCACCTTGAGTTAATGTGAGTCCATGATCTTTTGTTTGTGAGAGTCTCTTCATCCACGATTCATTTGTCCTCTGTTCACTATTTGCCATGAGACCGACTCGAGACTAGTGCTCTCGCCGAAGAAGCTATGAGATGACTTGTGCGTCGGTTGACCTCGTAAGCTGCTAAATGATCTAGGAAGTCCTCTGCCTACGATCGAGGTTGTTTGTTGCTATAGAGGTCTGGAGAGCTGCATTGGTTTGAGTTAGGTTTGCTTGGGGACAAGCAAACGGTTAAGTGTGGGGGAGTTTGATAGATCGATAATTATACATGTTTTCACCCCTATTTTGAAGCCGTTTGTGATGAGGAATCTCGTGTTTTAAGCCGATTTCACGCTAGGTTGTGTGTTTATGTCATATTTCAGGTCCTGGCGTTGGAATCGAGGCGAAGGAACGAGTTCCGGGTCGAAAGGAGCGAAGATGGGATAAAGGATGCTGCTGGACCAAAATACCCGGTCAAAGGAAGAAATACCTGGCCGGGTATATTCTGGCCTCGACCGGGTATTTTTCCCTTCGGGCACCCGTGAGAAACAGAAGGGGGCCCGGGCGATGGCCTTAAATCCCCGGTCGGGGATTTTGATGTTGGACCGGGGATTTTCCCAAAAGAGGAACGGCGCGTTTTATGAAATACCCGGTCGAACCCTGAAATACCCGACCGGGTATTTCGACCGGGTATCGCGAGGGCAGCTGATAAAAGAGGAAGAAGGCCAATTTTCAAGGGGTTCCGAGTTTTTGAGAGAGAAATCGATTCCTAGAGAGAGAAAGCGACGAACCAGAGTTCCCAAGCGCCATAGACCGATCTTCAACACCATTGGAGCCCGGTTTGAGCTTGGAGAAGTGCGATTAAACGTCCAAGAGCAGAAATCCAACTTCACAGTATGATTTCCGCGTCTGAATATGCTTTTGCTTCTTTCTCTATGGAGTAGTTTCCCCATTCATCTGGGTATGGGGAACCCTAGATTTGTATGCTAGGTCTGATTGTATGAACCCAAGTACAGAATTTGTGAATTGATTATATTCGATTGAGGTTTGAATGATTGAATGACTTGAATCCTGATCAAATTCCTGTTGTTTCTGCTTTGACCTGGAATGAGAATATCTGCCTAGGTTGATAGAGTACCCTTAATCGAAGGTGGCGAATTGGTGTAGGTTAGTCGCCAGCTAGAGACTCAGATTGAGAGGGTCTGAAGACCTTTAGTCGAGACTTCAGATTGTTTGAGAACCTTCCGCAGTATAACTTTCATGAAAACTGAACTTGGTAATTACAATCCGGCTTAACTGCAGACTAGGGGGAACCATATCCGGGTGACCTCTCTTGACTTGACAACAAACCGTTTACTTGCTTTGTGTTTTGTTTGCTTGAGTTGCACTAAAAGTTCACCGCTAAATAACAATAATTCACTGAGTAGTCATCACATCTAGGACCCGGGTTGACATTAAAACCCAAACCCGCTATATTACGCTTTAGGAAGTGGTTGCACTTGGCCATTTTCTAGAGTGATAGTACCAGCGAGTCAACAGCAAGCTGCAGTCGCTTGCAGATATTGACGCGACTATATCTGCTGAGCTACCAGACCCTCTACTTGACCCTCTTGGGTATGAGACTATCACAAAGTTTATGATCCACGGCCCATGTGGTGTAGACAATGAAGCTTCGCCGTGTATGAAGGATGGTTCGTGTAGTAAATTTTTCCCAAAGTCATTTAATTCAGAGACAACAGTTGATCAGTTCGGGTACCCAGTTTATCAAAGGCGGGATACAGACATTACAACGACAAAGGGCAAGACAACTCTAGACAACAGATTTGTCGTTCCACATAATAGAAATTTATGTGTTCTCTTTCAAGCACACATAAACGTTGAAGTTTGCCACCATGGAAAGTTGATCAAATACCTCTTCAAGTACATTACAAAGGGCCCTGATAGATCTGTCGTCGTAGCTGACAATGCTGCCAACCCTTCGAGTTCTACCCAACAACAAGTACCAACCTTGCCTATAAATGAAATTCAACAATACTTGGACTGCAGAACGTTATCTTCTTATGAGGCAGCTTGGAGGCTCTACGAATTTTCCATACATGAAAGAACGTCTGCTGTGCAGCGGCTTTTTGTTCACCTTGAAGGGCAGCATCGAGTTCCATACAGAAAGAGGCAGCGTGTTGACAACATACTTGCTAGAACTACCGTTGAATCAACCACACTAACACAGTGGTTCAAGCTTAATCAGAGAGACCCAACTGCAAGAACTCTTTTGTACGTTGAAACACCAAACAAGTTTACTTGGATTGCTAAGGAGGAAGATTGGTCTCCACGAAAACAAGGCTTCTCGCTTGGTCGAATGCCTTACATTCAACCTGGTTCTGGCGATACATTCTACCTCCAGCATCTACTGACGAAGATTCGCGGCGCCCAAAGCTTCATGGATCTTCGCACTGTCAACGGAGTGGTTTGTAAGAACTTCCAGACAGCATGCCAAAAAATGGGACTACTTGCCAATGATGACGAATGGCTGTTGGTATTAACAGAATTTGGACAGTGGGGAATGTCCAGCCTGTTCAGGTATCTGTTCATTTCAATGATAATGTTCTGCCAGCTCTCTGATCCTCACACTTTGTTTGGTAAGACATGGCAACTGCTGGCTGAAGACATTACATATAAATGCCAAAAAAATGCTAGATTCAGTGGTGAGTTGATACCTACTGAACTCCCTCAAGACATACTATTACATGAGTTGCAAAGGATGTTTGATGCTTATTCAAGTTCCCTACAACACTTTGGACTTCCACTTCCGACAACAGAAGTGCACAATTTTCACACATATTGTTCACCACAATTGGGAACCCAGGAAGCATCATCATCTACTAACTCAAAACAGGCTCCTGTCTACAGAGATTTAAATCCACAGCAAGCAGCTGCATTTGACAAGATTATCGCATCTGTCTCAGGTGGCAAAGACACGTTTTTCTTCTTATATGCCCATGGAGGGACGGGCAAGACGTTCCTATATAAAGCTCTCGCAGCTGCAATGGATGAACTTATTCGCAAGGTCCTTATTTTCGCATCTTCTGGAATTGCTGCTACGCTACTGCCAAATGCAGTTACCGCGCATTCAAGGTTCAAAATTCCTTTAGAAGTTGATCAGAACTCAACATGTAGTGTGCATAAAGGTACGCAACTTGCTCACTCATTGGCTGAAGCAGATCTTATTATATGGGACGAGGCTCCTATGATCCACCGATTGGCGTTTGAGGCTGTTGATAGAACTCTTTGTGATATTATGAATGTGCCTTTCACGGGAAAAGGGTACAAGCCATTTGGTGGCAAAACTGTTTTGTTGGGAGGAGATTTCAGGCAAACACTGCATGTAGTACCAAATGCAGGTAGAGAGGAAAGTGTTGATTCATCTCTAACACGATCATATCTTTGGAAGTACTGTGCTGTACTACATCTGTCAAGAAATATGCGCATCACATCATCGCCTATCAACCAGCAGCCAACATTTGCTTGCATGACTTTTGCGGATTGGACACTAAGCGTAGGAAATGGACAGATTCCTGCTACAAGCTTCAGCGTCAACCAACCTGCAGACTGGATTTCCATACCATCGTGTTTTCTTCTTGATCCGAGCTCTCAACCAACGGCAACAATATGCGACGAAATATATTCAGACTTCTCAGCAAACTACCACCATGCAGCTTACCTCATAGACAAAGCAATTGTAACCCCGACAAACAAGAATGTCACTAAGATAAACAAACATATGATGAATAGGGTGCGGGGAAGGGTTCACAGTTACTTCAGTGCAGAAAAAATCCACTCAGATTCAAAGGATTCTGCACGGCTCGAGGTTGAGTACCCTACTGAGTTCCTAAACACTTTAGCTTTCAGTGGCTTTCCTGATCATGAAATTGAGCTGAAAGTTTTTTCACCAGTGATGTTGCTAAGAAACCTAAACCCAGAAATAGGTTTGGGCAATGGCACTCGAATCATGGTCACCTACCTAATAACATATGTAATCAAGGGACTCATCATGGGTGGTGCATATGCTGGAAAAGTTGTCGCAATACCAAGAATTGTTGTCAACATCGACAATCAAAAGTGGCCTTTCATGCTAAAACGCAGACAATTCCCGGTAAGACTTTGCTATGCAATGACTATCAACAAGAGTCAGGGACAGACTTTGACCCGTGTTGGTGTCTTTCTCCCAAAGCCGGTTTTCAGCCATGGACAATTGTATGTTGCTATTTCAAGGGTTAGGTCTGCAGAAGGGTTAAAGTTTCTTATCCAAAATGAAGACCATATTCCTCTGGGGTATACAAGGAACATCGTATACAGCGAAACATTTGATTCACTCGGGGGTGCATCGCTATGTATACCTCCAACTGCTATTAGGTTTGCTTCTGGAAATGATTTATCAACTTTCAGTGTGTAACAGTTCCTGCACATAACTCCTTTCAACATTTACAGTGGTTCTCTTGCACTTTACAGGACATGAAGAACCCAAACTTGCGGGAACAAACCAGAAAAACCACCCTGTTGTGTCTGGCTTGGTAATCAATTCTTGCACTCCCTCTTACAGTCAAAGCAATTTATATTCTTAGCCGCAACCATTCTAATTCTGATGTTTTATTGACCTGTCATCTCCAGTGATGCTTAATGGAAAGTTTCTCTCTCTCTTCCTTTCCCTTTTTTCAAACGCTCTCACCTCTCTCTAGCCTCCTGTTCTATTCGGCGCTGGGGTGCCGCCGGTTTTCACCTTTTTTGTGACCGGCGGCCACCGAACCCCCTCCTTTTTTGCTTTTTTCAGTTTGCCCCATTCTCCTGGACTTTCTTTCCATCACCACCGTTCATCTCCTTCCACCATCTTGCTTTCCTGGGGTCTTTTTTGTTTTTTCCTTCCGTTTCCTTCTACGCTCTGTTTGTTTTTTCCGGCCATGTCTTGGCTCTCTCTTCCCCTTTGTGGTTTCCTTTGCCCCCCTCTGTGGGATGATTTTGTTGTCCTCCGATTTGGTTTCCAGATCTGGAGATGCTTGTCCCGTTCAGGATACGATGGAGGTTGGATCTGACAGATCCGACTTGTCTTCTCCTCTCCTCTTCTTTGGTCTACCTCCTTGTTTTGCCTTGCAGTTCTTGGCGATCCGGAGATGCAGCCCTTGGCGAGGACCCGGATAGGAGAGCTTGAAGACTGGTGTATTCTAACTCTCTGCCTCTGCCGGCCGTCCGGTTGTTCTGCTCGGTTCTCGTGGTAATCGGCGAGATGTGCATGGTGATCGGCTCGGGACGAGATGTTTCGGTGGTTTTCCTCCTCATCTTGCCTTCCGGGTCTGGTGGGTACCCAAACCAGTGATTGGCTCACGGCGACGCTCAAAGGATGGGTGGCGGCGTCTTGTCTGAAGCGGTGGTGGTGCTTGCCGCGGCGGTGGAGGGTCAGAGGGGGCACGTTGGCGGCTAGGGTTTGGGAAAGTCCCTCTCTTGTTTTGGCTCTGGGCTCGGACCCTATTGGGCTTCCGAGTTTGTCTTCGGGCCTTGTTGTTTGGGCTTTTTCTTTCCTTTCTGCTTTTGTTTGCTTGTACACTTCCTTTGTGGGCTCGGCCCAGTCGTTTTATCCTAATGAACTCTTCTCTCAAAAAAAGATGCTTAATGGATCTTGCTGCACAATATCTAGCTACCAAGAACATCTTCCAGCCACGTGTAGCTTTTACATGCATTTCCCAGACTGGACAAGTATTTTGGAACATGGCTTTTAGAGTGCTTCTTTATTTGCAGAGCCATTGGGATAAAAATTGCTTCTGAACCATGTTGTATAAGGATCTTGCTGCACAATTTAACGTTTGTGTTTAAATTTGCCTTCCTTGCCCTGCTTTCTATAAGGATCAAATGAATACAGTTAGGGAAAAAAATGGTTTAACCCACCATTTTGAACACAATAATACTACTTTTTAACACGCGAAGCGTAGCGAGCGGGTCTTTCCTAGCAAGATATAAGGCTAGGTTAGTAGCCAAAGATTATACCAAAACATATATATGAAGTATATTTTGATACTTTTTAGTCATGTAGCAAAAATGACTATTAAATACTAATAGAACTTTGCTTAGTTTAACTGGGATTAACAATTGACATCTATGCCAATTAGACGTCATTACGTCAACACGGCTTTTCTTCATGAGATGTCGATGAAAAATTCTATATGGTACAACTACCACGACTAAATTCTAACCCATGTGATGTTAACAAGGTTTGTAGACTAACAAAAAGCTTTATTGACAACATAAAATAATTTATATTTGAATCCAACAAACAACATAAACATTTAATCTTTCATACGTAAAATCCAACAAATAACATCGAAATTTAAAATTTAACATCAAATTCAAGAAAAAAAATTTGAATAAAAGTATTCTCTAAAAACCCGTCATCTAGTTCAAAATTCGAAAATCAATCATATCGTTTATACCGAAAACATTACAACTGATTTTATAACCGGTACTGGTTGAATCCGGTTCTACCCTCCGGCATGTTGACCATGCGCATTCCCAAGTGTCTATATACACGTGGCCTGAAACTAGTTGTTTGCTGGGCGGTCCAATATAAATTTCGGAAGCAAAACTAAACCAAAGGCCTTCAGAATTCAGATACAGTACAGAAGAGCTTTAATAAATGAAGGGGGTCATTCTCAAGTTTTCTACCTGTGCTAATTACTTATTTACTTGTGACTGTGTTACTTTGCATGCAGCCAAGATCTCTGCCTTCTCCAATGGACGCACCACTTCCAAGTTTCTTCAGAGTCATCCTTCCTTACATGCTTGAGAAAAAGAAGCTAGTAAGTTCCCAAGGTCCTTCACTACTTCTTCAAACATCTTGTGATCACACTAGCTTTCTCTTTCTAATTTTTTTTTTTTTTTTGTAGAAGCTGCCCCTGAAGTTCGTCAAAATGCACGGGTCCGAACTCTTGTCGACGGCTGCACTTACCTTACCAAACGGCCAGGTGTGGAAGGTCGGCGTGGAGAAGATGATGAGCAAGAACAACGAGGAGATCTGGTTCGGTGACGGTTGGGCGGAGTTTGTGGCGCACCACTCCATTTCCGCAGGATTCTTTGTGGTGTTTGAGTACCAGTTGGGCCACTCTGCCTTCAATGTCCGCATCTTCGACTTTACCACTTGCTCAATCGATTACCCTAAGACCGAGCAGCTCGATGAGGATCAGACGGGTTCCCCTCATTGCATCATCATTTCCTCCGACGAAGAAGAAGGAGATTGCAAACCCAGCGCAAGAAACAGGCTCCGACCCAGAAAGCGGCAAACCTCCGATCTCACCGGTAAGCTAAGCCATTTGTGATCTGCATTTGGGTGCAGGTGGGTTTTACTTTTACATATATGATTGTAAGTAATTATTGATGAGTAGCAATTGGGAATTGATTTGAGCATCCAGCTGAGATTGAAAACACGCTGGAGTTTCTCGAAGCGAGCGGGATCGTGACGAATGCCCTGTTCCACCTCAGGCTACCCAAGATGTACAGATTGTGCAAGAAGGGAATCGAGGAAGCAATAGCATGCAAACCCGAAGACAGGCCTTGCTTCATCGCCGTGCTGAGCTCTAATCATACTCGTGGGGGCAGCAGGACTGTGAGTGCTACTTGTTGTTTAATAAATTAACCATATATATATATATATATATAAAATATTTTTGGCAGAAAGTATCCTTCGATCGGTTGATTGTGTATGCAGATAATACCTAGTGGGTTTGGAAGAGAGCATAAGATTGAGAGAAGAACCAACAGGAGTGGGATTCTGGAGGTGTGCAATGGTGAAAATGCAGGCGAGCAGTGGAACGTGGAGGTGGCGAGGAACAGGTCTGGGCAAGGGATGTTTATGGGGAAGGGATGGGGAAAATTCATGGAAGACAACAGTTTGGGAGAGGGAGATGTGTGCCTCTTCCAGCTGGTCTCTGCGGCGGATCCGGTGAAGATGGGCGTGTCCATCTTTCCAGCCCAGCCCAGCCCAGCGAATTAGTAGAGTAGTGATAATCGTGGGCTATGCATAGCCCAATTACTGTATGGGCTTGTATTTTGTTGGCGACGCTGTGTTTCTGTCTCGATCTTTAGGTTGAACATGTGGGTGTAGTCTCCGTCCGTAGATGCGAATCTGCGACCATGTGAATATGGCCACCAAGCTAGCTTTTGCTTCTTTGCTTTCGTTGTAGTCAGACATCCTACTCTAAGACTACTGTCTTTCCGAACAGAATAATAATGCGAGGATTGAATTGGACGCCAGATGCAATAGTCAATCGACTTATCCGATCCACCCTGGCCGCCGAATTGTCTACCCCTACAAGATCCAACGCAGTAAGTCACTGCGGTATATGATCAAAGTCTTAGTCATTTACGATTCTTTTCCTCGAGGCGGCCCGGCGGCCAATTGGCCGCAAAAGCTTCGATGGTTGACAATGATTTAATACAAAAGTTGAAGAGCCGATGATAATTCTATTTCAAACAATACTAGGAAAAATATATATATTTTTTTGATCGGAAATACTAGGAAAAATATTACTTTTTAAGTAATGATACTATCTAAGTTCATTCTCATTATATTGTATATATAAAAAAAATATTTGACCACATCTTGAATTCGGAGCAGGACCTCCACAATGGCAACTTGGGAAGACTCATATCCAAAAAGAAAAAAGAAAGAAAATTTGTTTGTCCCTTGTGTTCTAAAGGGTGATTTGGATTAGGAATTTGAAAATTGAAGATTTGTGTGAAATTCCTGGATTTAGAAAACGGAGGATTAGTGATGGATTTGTTTTCGTTTGGATTTTGAGAAAATTGTTGTTTGGATGTTTCAGATTTTCTAAGAGTTTGGTTTATTTAGCCTCAAACATTTTTTTCTCTTCTCTCAAATCTCACCAAATTAGGGGTGTATTATGGCCAGGCCTGTACCGAACTGCACTGGACCAAACCGGTGATTGGACCAAACCATACAAACCAAGTATAATGTGGTATGGTCCTTGATCATATGAATTTATAATTACTGAAGTAAAAATGGATCGAATTGTTTGGACAGGACCAAACAAGACCGAATGGATCGAATGCAATGATAGTCCAATCTTTGGTCCTAAGATATCTTTCATCAATGAATCGCGGTTCTCATGAGTTTGGTTCGATCCGAAGCGAACTGAACTGCTACACACCCCTAAACCAAATTATGTGAGATTCCAAATACCAAGCTCACGGATTTGATATCTAAAAAATTATCAGTGGATTTATGCATGCAAATGATGGATTCTATCAATTCCCACAAGTGTTGGATTTGAGATCCAAATCCTTATCCAAACAACCCCTAAACAAGTAGTGAAACCCATAGCCTATTTATACATGGAATTTCTAATTGACTCCATCATTTCTCCCATTCCTTCACCATGTGCACCCTCGAACAGCGCTCCAACATCTTCATCCTAACACTGACGGGCAACGACGACGAGCATCGCCTCAGCCCAACTCTGATCGCCGCCATCCTCTCGGCCCTTCGCCAAATCAAGTCCGTAGCTACAAGCGGATCCGTTCTCATCACAAACTCCCAAGGCAGGTTCTTCTCCAACGGACTCGACCTACCTTGGGCCTTAGCCGCAGGATGCAGGCTCAAGGCCCTAGCCAGACTCACCCAAATGGTGGAGTCCCTGCGGCACGTGGTCGCCGAGCTCGTCTCCCTCCCCATCCCCACGATCGCCGTGGTCCAGGGCCACGCCGCGGCGGCAGGGTTCGTGCTGGCCCTGAGCCACGACTACATGCTGATGAGGGAGGACAGAGGTGTGCTTTACATGAGCGAGATCGACCTCGGAGGTTGCTTGCCGGACTACTTCACCGTCCTGTTTCGGGCCAAGATCGGGTCGGGGCTGGCCCGGAGGGATGTTGTGCTGGGAGGGAGGAAGGTTAGGGGAAGAGAGGCGGTGGAGATGGGGATTGTGGATGGTGTTTGGGGTTGCGAGCAGAGCTTGAGAGAGGCGTCAATGGAGCTTGCTGAGCGGCTAGGATCGAGGAAGTGGGACGGAAAGGCATACGAGAAGATGAGGAAGGGTTTGTACCCAAAACTCTGCATCGTTGTGGGAGCTGTTGAAGATCGGATTCTTCCAGCTAAATTGTAATGAAACATAAAAGCCAGCTGGTCTCGAAAAATCAACATTGATGCATGGGAGATATGTTCCTAAAATAATAGCCTTTCTGATTTCCGACCTTGGGAGTTGGGACTTGTTGTTGGTCATCTTGATAGGACTTGATTGTATGGCTTGTAATAGTATTTGGTTTTCTCCAATTAAGGCCCGTATTTCGCTAAACTAAGAGCATGTTTACTTGTCATTCATTGATGAACACTTGTAATATGTTTTAAAATATTGGTGCTTTAAATAATTAAATTACAACCTTGCGTTATATCATAACGTTAAAAGTATAAACTGAAGTTATACATTAAGTGATTTTGAACATTTATGTTATGGTACAACTTAACATAACGTTAAAGGTACAACTTGTATAAACAAATTTTTTCATTTTCATTTATGAAAACCATGGTCCATGAAACCGTACCGTACTGGCGGTTCAACCACGATATACTAGTATCGGAGGATACATCTGTAGACAGTTTTTAACTATCTAACGGTCGAACTACACTTAAACCACGATTTTATCATAAAATATTTTATATTATGGTAAACGGTTTCATGTAATACTTTATCATAAAAACCAAACAACTTAGGTAACATACTTTATTTTTCAAGTAATGAATACAAGAGATGAAAATGTTAAAACAAAGAAAAAATTAGCCACACCCTGCCCGCCGCAGTTTATCATCATCATCTTCTTCACGAAAATACCCCAACTAGTTAACCCAATTGATGGAAAGATCTACGATGAATCTTCTGCGACTCCGGAGACATGATCGCCGTCTTGCCGGCCATTCGGCGACGCCGATCTTTTCCTTTTTTTCGTTATCATCAATACTTCTTCTTGGGCGAACTCGCCACAGTCGACTCTCCCTCTTCTATGGAGGTACGCCATCTTTTGTCTTCTTTTTCCGTCTTTCGGAGATCTGGGTTGAACGGCGATTTTTGTTCTATTTGCCTTTGTTTGGTACGAAATTCGGAATCCTCGGTTTCTCGGTTTTCCAGTGTTTTGTGTATCTGCTAATTTTTTCTTGGTAAAGCCTGGTCTTTTATTCTTATGATAGATTCGATGGTTTTGGGCAGCGCTGAGAATGTAGAGATTCTGTTATATAAATAAATTCTGGTTCAATTTTTTCTTTAAAATATAATAAATAAAATAATATTACTATTTTAAAAAACATTATTTAAAATAAAGAGTTATAATGATTTCAAATAGAAATATGAAATAAAATATGAGAATTCAAATAATAACTAAATTGACGATTAATCAATTAACTATACTTACTTGAATAGGTTACGAGAACTTAATGAGTAGAAGAGAAGAATCAAAGAGCATAAAAAAAATATTGGAGAAAAATAATATTATATAGTGGAAATTTATAATTTTTAAAACTAAAGTTAAGTGTGGTATAAATTATTTATAATTATTTACTGTGCATAACAACTCAACAACCAAGCGTACTCCTTTTACTCTTGAAAACTAAAGCTCAACATTGTTCCTATGTTCTATATTTGCATTTGTAGAATGTAAACCATAACATATATACGTCTAATTTAGATAAAACTCATACATTATATTTGATAAAAACTTGAAAGTAAAGTCTTTTTCAACCTATGATAATTGTTAAAAAAACTAAGTGAATTCAGACAAACACAATAATTCATCAGCCTCATACCATTGATATGTACGTTTGTTATGTGAATATATACTTCTATTGAATATAAGGTAACTGTATTAGTTGTATGTGTTTATGTTAAGGATTAACTATAATTATGTGCTTGTTGGACCCGTAAATATGGCACGACCCAACTCGAACAACAATAGTAATCCACAAGCGCGCACAAAGACCCAATGGAAGTCCAATGAAGGTTGACAAAGCTTGACCTATAAATATATCCTTAGGTCTTCCAAGTAAGGGGCCTCTCCTTCTCCTCAACTCATTTTCACATATCAATTATCACTCTACAATATCTCTCCCTACATAAGCTCTTCTTATTTCTCTATTATGATACTAATGTTGATCGTTGGAGTGTAGATGCAGGGGGGCATCCCCGCCCTTTCACAGACTGGCGTCATACTTGTTTCGTGGCTAAACAATTGGCGCACCAGATAGGGGATAGGAACGAGTTTGAGAAGTCATATCCGACTCGATTCTCTGCTCATTTTCTCTCGCCAAACCCAGATCGCAAAGCCCAAATGGTCAGATCCACTTACGTTAATTAGTGTTCGTTAGATTGAAAGGTGAAGGATCGGCGAAAAATCTGGTTTTCAGACTCTGTCGAATCTACTTTCTCTCTCCTAAGGAAGAGCGATGTGGTGTAGCGAAGGAAGAACACGGAGCTCACATACCGATCTTCTCTTCCACAAGCAACGAATCTCGGGATCAGCTCTTCAGCGGTGCTCAGCCATGTCCCAAATCTGCTCTCTCTCTCTCTCTCTCTCTCTCTCTCTCTCTCTCTCTCTCTCTCTCGTCGGTCGAGTTATCGGTCGAGTTCCCTGGAGAAACCAAGAAATACCCTGCAGAAGCAGACGATTTCTAGAAGAGCATAGTGAAATATGAAGCTGTTTCGCGAGATGTCCTCGATCGCAACAGAACTACGCGGCTTTGCAAATCCAAGGATTTCTTAGGTTCATAAAGCATAAAAATCCAAGTCAGAGCTTCGGTTAAACTAAAATTTTCTACTGGTATGCTTCAACAAGGTTCTCTGGTCAGATCTGAAAAATCAAATCCATAAGAGAGAAGAGGAGTCGAGCTTTGGTCGTCCTCTGTCAAACCCGGGTCTGGTTTTTACTCCGTCCCTGTTTCCTCCAGAAGAAATGGTAAGAAAAGGGCCGAAAAGTACTTGGTTCTTTCCATCAAAGAACATATTTGGAAGCATGGAAGAGGAACTACCCAGATCCAGATGAACTTTGTGGTCG